CTACAAAAAAAAAATGTTTTGAAAACAAAAACAGAAAGTAGATATGGATTAAAGAGAAAACGAAGCGAGAAGCAGATCTAATAAATATAAACAAATACCTTTTCGAAATAAATCGAATGGATCCATAACAGAGGAGGATAGCTAACAGATCGGATAATATAGATGTCAAAATACAAAGGTAAAGCAAAGAGAAAGCAGGAAAGAGACGTATGTTGAGTACTTTTCTTTTTTTTTTTCTGTATAATTATTCAGAGAATCGAGCTTCAATCTTTCCTTTTCCGTATCAGAGTATTATCTCTTCTTCTCTCAGCTTTCAGGTCTATCTCTCTGTGTCGTTTTTTTTTTTTTTTTTTTTTGGTTCTGAAAGCCCGGATGGGTGTAGTGTACCACCACCACCACAAAAATATAAAAGGAGACACCCACCCCTTCGCCACTCGATTTGACCCCTCTCTCTCTCTCTCTACTCTTGACCTTAATGAATAATGATGATTATTATTTTAATTAATTAATTAATTAACTGGGAAATAGTTAATTAAGTTCATAACTATAAAAAGCCAATGCCGGTAACCATTACCATATTTTTTCTATAAAATAATCCTCTCTGAAAAATTAATATTAAATAGTTGGATTTCCCATTTTCAAAAAAAAAAAAATGAAAAGGTAATTTTCTTATCTTTTATTACCTTTTTCGCTCCTTGGAGTTTTTCTACTTTTTAAAATATTTTTATTCTACTTATGTATATATGTATAGCATTATATATAACAGCAAAAGTAAAACTAGCATAATTTACTATTATTGAATAAACAATGCATTCTTCAAATTTACTTTCCTGCTGTAAAAAAAAAAAATTATTTAACTGCTTTGATTACTACGATTAAAAATTTTTATCATAAAAATAATTGTAATGTTTAATAGATTATTTTTTATAAAATATAAATGAATTGTAGCATAAGATATTTATGTTTAGTAACAATACATATTAAAATATATTATGAAAATACAGCTAAGTTCAAGTATATTTATATATATTCCATATTAATTTTTGCTAAGATTATATATATAATTAGTAAATAATTAAAGCTAGTTAATTGTTTTTATTTGTTTTCATTGCATGACAATTTTATTGCTCCAAATATTTTCAAAAAAAAAATCAAGATAAATCAACAAACATATACTTTTTAATGTTTTGGAAAAAAATAATTTCATGCATAGATTTTATCCGAAAAAGGTTTAATTTTTTAAGGTAAAAATTGTTTTTACTTTCATCTAAAAAATAAATTTTAGCTCTAATATTTTAAAACAAATTTTTTTATTTTCAATTATAAACTGGTAAATTAAATAAATAATATATATTTAAGTCAATCACATAAAGTTCTGATAGTATATTATTATGTAATAATATTATTTAAATTGTAAAACTTAACTATTACTAATAATAATATATATTTTATTTTTATTTTGCATTAGTTACTTGTTATATAATTTATGATTCTATTAATAAATACAAAATAAAAAATTTTTAGAACTCTTGAGAAGAAATTTAGTTTTTAATAAAAACCACAAGAATGAGTATCCAAATTTTTGGATTCCTTAACATGTTTTTAATCGTATAATCATAATTTGGTAACATTTGTGAATAAGGTCTAGATTGATATGAAGTATACTTATATAATTGATATAAGAGCAAGTGTATAAATGCTCATTAGAAAAGGATTTCACTTAATAGACTCAAACTCTTAGTGTCAAGTTTACTTGTCAAGTGTAAAATATCTACTATAGCAACGATATAGATTATATAAACATAAAAATATATTATGATATTTAATACTCACTAAGAATTTGGGACCATCATGGTATTTACGTAGATTGATTTAATTAAAATTAAATTAATTAGAGATTATTCAAATTAATATTGTAATACTTAAATATATAATAAAATAGTTTTATTTAGAGAAATTAAACAAATTATATAATTATTTATGAAATAATTAAAACTAATGAGATTTTTGTTTAGATATGTAATAGTTAAAATTTAAATTTCAAATATTAAAGAGAATACAACATCTTTAATAAAGATGTAGTAAAGTAATTTTCAATTGGAAACAAGTGTTAAGACCTTGTGGGTTGGAGGAGTTTTTCTCGATAATCTTATAACTTGCATATAGGGAACTAGAAAAAGGGTAAAAATCATGAGTTCTTCCCTAGTTTACTATTATACTTCATCTCTTCTTCTTTTGTGATTAGTTTATAAGATTTAATTTTGTAATTTATTTTTTACTTTTTGTAGATACTAGTTTTTAATCTTTGAAGAAAAAATACATCTATTATAAAAACTCAAAGAGAAGTTTTGAAATAAATTTTATTTTCAAGTGAGAGAAAATAAGAGTGATCAAAATATAGATATTTTTAAATAGATGTTAATAAAATTTTTATCTTATGATTTAGAAAATTGTAAATTACAACAAATAGGAATTTGAGTAAAGAGAATAGACATTCCAAATATAGTATAGTTTCTAAACACTTGGATATATGATTTTTTTATCAATTTAATTGTTTATATATGTGAACGCACATTCCTAATTTCATGGAAGAAGATATTATAACAACATTTTATAGAGCTATAGAATAGGTAAAAATTCTTGAATAATTTTCAATAGTTTAAGGCAATTTTCTAGTATAACATCGTCATTCTAGTTTTTTCTATATTTATTTTTATTGTATAAGTTTTTTCATTTTTTTAATAGATTTTTTAAACTTTTTTTTTTTCATTCTAAAATTGCCATGTTAAGGCTTTTTGCCTAAACATAATTTTTTTTTTCTTCCTTTTTTTTCCTCTATAATTTTTTTATCTTTATTAATTTTGTCTCATTACAGAACATGCTTGATATGAGAAGTAAATACCTACAATTTTAAAATGCGTGCCTCTTATAAACTAAGAGATTATTCTAGCTTATTATTCGTCCGTTACTAACCTAAATTCTTTGTTGCTTTATATCTTTGTAACGCACGTGTTCTCGTACATGATAGATTTTTTATATCTATTTTTAATGTTTACTATTGGGTGTAATAATATTCAGTTTTACGATTAATCATTGACTCGGTTAGATCATCATTAAACGTTTCTTATTTGTCTTATTCGTACATGTGCTTACATTTTACTATCTGATCCTT